TGGTTGCAGATCCGTATGGACCATCCACAGCCAGTCTAGAGCAACAAGACATTTAGTCCAAGGTCAGCAACACAGAAAATGACAGAAGGTTAAAATTTATTGGGCTACATATATTCAAAATTGAACTTCTGTTAAAATAAAAAAGGCATATCTAAACTGGCACACAAATTACTCATACAAACACATTTAATTTTCAGTGGGTGCCATTTAATAGCAAAGCAACTGGTTTTTCTGAAGTGGGAGAACAAGAGCACCCATGTGGTTTTGGGGCCTGGCCATCTATTTAAGCATGCAATTGCAATTTTCTGGCTTTCTGAAATGTGATTAGTCATATAATTGCATGTCCAAATTTAGCTGTGAAATTTGCATATTTAATTACAAATTACTGAAAAGCATCCTGTTTCAGAGCTTTATTTTCTATATTGTATATATCAAAGTAAAGAGGAACAGATTATATTAATCATTTGGAAAAAGTTCTCTATGTGTGTTAAAGTACTAAAAGAGAAAGCAAGAAAGAGATAATCATATGCAAGGAAACTACTATTTTCTCAGCTCTTTCTGAAAAAACAGTATTTCAAAAATAATTTTTTGGCAATAATACTGTATTTAGTATCTGACATAAAGGCAAAATGTGTAAGGAGAAACTCTTGTTTATGTAACTACCTCCTATAATCAATGTTGCTGATGCTGAGGCATTAATTTTGGCCAAAATTAGAGATGAAAAAGATTATTAAATAATCAGATGCATTCTTCTAGCAACATGGAATGTAAATACACACAGTACTTTGGAGTTCTCTGTCCAGTCTGTCTTTAAATAACATAAGTGCTCTGGAAGATGGTTTCACTAACACCCAGTGCTTAGGAAAAATTAGGATTTTTCTTCTTTCACGTTTTCTGTTGGTTTGTGCTCTTTATTGCATGAATCATCTTTAAAATTCAGCTTAAATACTACAAACAAATGTGCAGACATAGGAAGAATGAAATGTTTTAACAGGAAAAGAAAGAGGGATCACCAAGCAGTGGTACACACAAATATAGGGACACGACATATCTGAAACCCTATTGTTACTTGCTTAAAGTGTACCTGCAGTCCTAGCAAACATTTTCCCTTTCATTTGTACTTGTCACTTTTATTTCAATATTCCAAATGTCCTGCAAGTGCGGTAGCAAATGAAACAGCTACTCAGGGATAACTTTTGGAAATCTGGCCTCAGGTATAAACAAAATAATCTCTCTTTTTTTTTTTTTTTTTTTTTTTTTAATATGTGTTGTTATTCAGATTATTGCCCAGCTCTGTACTTTTTGAGCACTCAAAAATTCCTGTAAAATATGGTTAATTTAGGGTATATATGTAAAGAACTGCTTTCGCGTAAGCTTTCTCTGTAGTTCAATGTGGGCTTGGGAGCAATTCTCATTATTGTTAGGAGATTGAGAAAAAATTGATCTGGAAGGAATTTCAAGAGATTCTTTAATCTATCTCTGTGGTACAAGACAGGATCAATTATTTCTGAATCATTCCTTACAGACATTTGTCTTGTCAGTCTGCTCCTAAATGCTCAGGTGACAGAGATCCCGTCATTGGGTTGAACGCCTTGGTTAGGGAGCTTACCTGAATATAAAGACAAGGGAGTAGGGAGGAGAAAGTGGAGAAACTGAGCTGTATAGCCCATTCATTTGATCTAGAGAGGGTGGAGGAAGGTAGGAAGATAGTAAATAAAGTGACAAAAAAAATTACATTTGGATTTGCCAAAGGAGGAGTAGAAAATAGGGCTACAGACTGTTCCTGGATATGGCTTGGATTGTCCATGTTCTTTGTGTACATCTACACAATTTCACTAGAAAGAAGTATTATACTTTGGGAAAGGCAGGGAAAGTATTTAGTTTTGGAGAAGTGACATTAATGGATTCTTGTATTGTTTTTAAAATGTAAACATTTGCTGATCAGCATGGCTGTGTAGTACTCCTGACTGTAAAGGAAGTTAGATTTTGGGACAGTGTGCTAAAACAGCAATTAAGTGAGACAAAATCTCAAAGAGGCATAATATGGAACTTGATTATTTTCACAGGAATAGTCTGTTCTATGGTCTTATCTCTCAAATTGGCTAGAAATCAAAACTAACTGTCTTTACTACCTTTATAAATGCACATACATTTTATTTTAGTCTTCTTTTATTAATTACAATATGCATGTTTTATTTTTAGAACCTTACCTTGTCATTCAGTTGCTAGATGTCTTCTGTCTTCTGCTCAGTTTCTACTATAAGTTATTTTTTAATATAGTCACCAATTTAGTGTTTATCTTTAGATATTGAAACCTGTGAAAAAGACTTGTTTTTTGCTTTATTGCTAGCTTAACTATTAAAATATTCTTTTTAATATAATGCAAGAAAGCAACTGAATGATGGCAGTAGGCACCCTAACAAGATTAAAAAGAAGAGTTTTTACATATGACAGTGCTGTTAATTTCGACCCTGCATTGTGGCCAGCAAAGTTTGATAACATTTTCCTCTTTCTCATTCTTTACACTGGCTGTCAATCACTTTGGAACATTTTTGCTTCAGTTCTGCTGAAACGGCATACTTCTCATTCCAGTTACCTTTCACAAAGGCATGGCTTTCATTTCTAATTCTTATTAACTGATGTAGTGCAAGGACTGGACCAGACTTTCTTCTCTGCCCCCACCTTCTACTATGCCTCTGTAGCTTAGTGATGTCTATAAGCTTTTTAGGGGAACGTTCTTTAGCATCCAAGTCCCATTAAATTGTATAAATGTAGTTAAACAAGTGCCTTTTGCTGTTCAGTTTCACTAAAACTCTCTCATCAAAGGCAATTTTCCAGGGGGAAAATAGTCCCTTTGGTCTCAGGCCCTACACACTCCACCAGAATTGAAATGATCTGTGCCAGGCTCTTCTTTGCTGAAAAACTGTTAACGGCTGCAAGGAGCTACAAGGTTTGAATCCATTACGTATAGAGCCAGATGCTTAGGTGGTGTAAGTCAGGATGGCTCCATTAACTTCAGCGGAGCCCTGCTGACTTGCAACAGCAAAGCATCAACCTTTTGCTTGGATTAAGATGTCACAGATACAGAACTTGAATGCCAATAACCTCTGTAAAGTGGAGCAGGGTTTGGAAACCGGAGACAGAGTTGAGGGAGACTGCTGGAAAGACGTAAGGTTCAGACAAAAGTTTCTGGGGTCACAAAATATCAAAGTAACTGAAAGGGAAAGGCTGGAATTTTGGATGGCAGGTGATGGGTGCCATCAGAGCATAAGCATATAAGCACAAAGCTAGCAGATAGCTTCCAATGTCATTTTGATTCAGTTCTTAAGCATTTATCTGTCAAAATTGATATCTTTAGGTGTAGACATAGATGTTAGAGATTTAGATGATAATGACAGAGATATAGATATTGATATGAACTTTAAATCTTAGATTAATCATCACGTCTTCTTGGTAGGTGTTGGCCTAAGTTCATGATTGTATTTGTGGTTTTTTTAGCATAATGGCATATTTATGAATCCAGAACCATGATCTAATACTGTATCGTAAAGAACACATACAAAATTAATTAAAGTGAAAATGTCAACATTTATTTTAAAATGTAGAATGAACATTTTAAAATGTACTGTTTGTTATTCAAACCTTGGTAACATCCACAGTTCCTTGAAAGCTTTTTCCTCTGCTCCAAAGGCCTTGAAGAGGGCTGCAGTCCAATCCCCGACGACCCGTATGTGAACGCTGAAGAAGTCCTCCTCGGGAGCTGAGGTGAGGGTGAAAGGATGCCACTCCAGCTGTGAGATAGATGGGCACTGTAGAAAGATATATTGACCAGGTCCCATTTTAAAGCCACGTTTCTTCATGTGAAGCTCAAGGACTCCAGAGGAATGTGCCACCACCTAAACAATAATAAAATTACCTGTTTTATTTCCCTTCAGAAAAGTAACTGTTTGTTTCCATTAGGTTACAGGTGACTTTGCAATCATTTCTACTCGAGTTCAACCACAAGCCAATGCAAATTGGGATGCACAGTAATTTTTTAATGTCTTGTAGGTGACGTCCTAAACTGCATGTTGCAGTGTTGTTGTTGCCCAAGAGCTTGAGAGCACGTACAGCGTGTATTGTGGGGCACCTTGCTTTGTGAAGTGTAAGAGGCAGAGGAAAGGCTGTAACAATTCAACATTTTGTCAACTTTCCATCCTAGTAAAACCTATGCAAAAGTATTCCTTAATAGACTGGAACAATTTCCCAGTTTTACTCTCATGTAACACAATTAACATGTGTGGGATTATTGTTGGTTTGGCAAGAAGAAAAAAGCCCAGTGAGCTCAATTCTAATACACTTTTATTAAGAGGTAATCTCCGATAAGCAGCCAGTTTTATGTCACATATAGTATACTGAGATTCTCAGATCACAGCCACTCTGTGAAATCAGCAGCAAGACTTATCCGACATGCTTTTCCCCACACACAAGATAAGCCCGTTTCTGATCGTCGGCTTGATACGTGTGGACCCGGCTGCTTCAATAGCAGCTTTCCCCATCCCTTCTGCTGTGACTTAAATAGGCCCTTAGCACACAGAAATATTTACAACTGGGATAAATTGTTACAGTGGTATTAATGAAGCTTTGACCATTTATGCTAACCGATAATATAACACTTCATCTCCTCGGAAGCCTCCAGATTTGAAAGTAAAAACCGTGTCCTCCTGAAGTCGAGGGTATCTCTGGCATTTACTGCCATGGAACAGGGTTTCAGTTCATTAAAAAGAGAGACGCTCTGTGCAGATGTTTGTGTTATGGTGGGGTAAAGTCTGGTACTTCATTAATCAAGTTTGGTCCCATCTGTAATATTCTTATGGACTTGCCATTGGAATAAAAACAAAACCTAAAATCAATACTTGGCTGAAACCATGGTGATGATGGAAGAGCTGCTGAAGCTAGGAGTGAAAAAAAGAGATCATAGTATAGAGAAGTTACCTATGAAAGACAAAAAAAGTAATCGACGTAATGTTTTTTTTACACAGACATGCGAGCTACGTTACATACCTTAGTAATGACCACCTCCTGTTGAAATCTCCAAAATCTAACAGTTCTTTCACAGATGTACAACACTGTAGGGCTTAAAACCCACTTCCAAGCCTGTAGAAAGTTGCATATTAAAAAACAACATTTCTTTGAATGTCTACAAAAATAGTTTGCATTTCTGGTTTAAATCAGCAGGTAGCCTAAAATGAAATTATTTGATATCTCTGTTGTGATTTTTGGTTTGCCTTTCTCAAGAGAGTATTTCTGTTGCTACTGTAGCAGTTCTGGCTTTCTTGCGGAACAGACATATGGGACTCCTTCACAGACGCACTCCAAAAGTGGTGCTAATATCTATCTGTATTCTGGCCAAGAAGAGTCCTTTAAAATCTTTTCCTACTGAAAGGCAAAAGGATTAATCAATTTAGGTGTTACATATAGATGTCAATGGACCTGAAGACGTATAGATGCATACATTTATATGATATTACCCATAGCCTTACTATTTTTTTGCTTTTCAAAGTCTAAAATATTTCAGAAGGGTCACTTAGGGGTAGCTGTTGTTGTCAGCTGTGAGTTTTCTGATGCTGCCTGAGAAAACATTAAGTCCCAAATATTCAGTTAGAGGAATGGGGTACATTTCTATTTAATCCATTAATCGGCTCTGTATCAATAAAGGTGTTTTTTTGATCTAGGATACTAAGCAGGTCATGCTTAAAGTATTGTAGATGATTGCTGTGCTTGTACTTGCTAATTGTATGTACTGATCACTACAACAATCAAAGATACTTGGCTATTGAAGTATACTAGCTGATGATTTCACCGAGTTGCAGTGATAGCTGGGATAATTAGATGTAATTGAATCTTCATGATTTTAAAAAAAAAAAAAATCTAGAAGAGATACTGGTTTATTTCCAGTTTTGTTAATTACATGGCTCATTCTAGCAAACTGAAGACTCCACAATCATGTGGCTTTTAAAATCTCTGAAGAGTAGCTTTACTTGCTGAAACATTGACTTTGCTCCACAAGCTGGGAAATGGGGGTTATAAAGCATCTTTTATGAGAAGCAAGCCATAAAATTATGTGGCTTCCTTAGAAAGTGCTAAAAGGATGGAGTGGCAATTTCCCAAGGTTAAGTCTTGAAAATTAAATTAAAAAAAATGCATAATTTAATAATGGGAAGGAACCAGTGTAAGCCAGAAGATTCTCAGTTAAAGCAGAAACTCGACACATCCGTTGTCCCTAAATACTACAGGTGTCTCTGCACAGTGGGTAATCTCACGTCTTGAATATATTTGCATATATCAAGCCACAATAATGATGAGACCTGTTTTTCCTCCCTTCCATTTGTGCTACCTGTAAATAAAAGCACGTGACAGGAATGTTAAGGTTGCAGGCTACCCTGCACGAGAGCTCAGCTGAGATTTCAAATGTGCCATCGCTCCAGTGCAACTGAGCATTCAATCCAAAATATCTTTTGGCTGGGTTGGGACAAGAGGGCATCCACCAGGAAGGATGGACATGACTCCTGGCTGGCTAATCAGTATTCTTGCCCAAGTGGTGTTTCCTTCTGTAATGAGAATGAACGGAGCTGGGGTGGTGGTGGCTGAAGGCTGTCCCCTCCGCCCCGTGCTGTGCAAGCCTGGCCACGGCTTTTTAGCCTCTGAATGAATTTGTGCTATCTATCTGCGGTGTCTAGCAGCTATCACACCATAGCACATTAGCCATCCAGCAAAGCGCGGTTCTTATAGATGATCTATATGCCATATGGTATTATCACAATTCATTTAAAGTAATGTGACTTTGCAAGTATGGCCTTGGGTATGCAGGAAAGTGTGGCAAAATAGGTTTAACACGGAGAAGTGGAAGTTCTATCCGGTTAGCTTTATGATAATGAATGTCAAGACATGCTGTTGGAAGCGGGCTTGTGTCTGTATTCATGGTGTGTAGCCGTGTATTGATTTTTATGGCGACATTGTAGCTGAAATTTTGAGAGAGGCATTCATTTTCTCATTAATATGCGGGTTGGATAGTGGCTAACAACAGTTTAGTTTAAGAAAAATCTATGTCAGCCATTAAAAGAGCTACAAGATACCGAATGCTAATTTTTCTCCTTTACTTTAGGATTTCCTTTGGTATGCTTTCCCTTTTTGGAAAAAATAACAAAAACTTGCATATGAGCAAGCTAAATCTTGAGCTGTAAATGTTAAATGATTTTGTTTGGATGCTAGACATCTGACATACTGTACAAGTCTGCTACTTAATTACCCCCTGTGGAGTTGCAATCTTGTTGCAGCAAAACCACCCTTCCGTGGGACATTTTTCCTGCCTTTTGCCTTTCCCTTTCATAATTCATTGTTTCAAATTCTCTCCTTTTTACCTAACTTAAGACATCAAGGCTGGACAATGTGAAGCATGTGCCCCAAAGCAAGGACATAATTTTATCTCCAACTTATTCTCCCTTGGTGTTTAGACTATACATATTAAAGTACTATTAGTTAAAATAATAATATTAATTTGCATCCCTAGCTTTACTGTTCCATTGTATTTTCTGTAGCTGTACCCTCATAAGGTTTTCACTTGGAGGCTATGTTTGTGCAATGAACACATCAAGGATATTGGTGATACTGAAGAATTAAAAATGAACGTACACAACAGATTTAAATTAAGTACAATTCTGAAATCCATACCCTTCAAAGGGAGTGTTGCCTAACTAAAGGCAATTTGTTAATGACACCAAAATTTTATACATTGCTCTTCATCTGTACTTGTCTATACTGATTATAGAGGCGGTCGAGATCACTATCTTAAAGCACAGGGAAAGCTCATGGAGCAGAAACAGGAAACTATCTAAAAATGACGCGAAAAGCCAGTCACTAGGATATACTCCTAGGATACGCTACTACCTAAGACATTTGGCCTCCCAAGGAAGAACATTAAGTTAAAAACAGAAGACAAATATCACTCTTACCACAGGTTTGTTGCCAGAAAACTGCGGCAAAGGGCACTGAGTGGCATTCTCCCATTCCAAGTAGTGATCCTTGCAGTAAGTGGCATTGTGAAGCAGCAGACTCTGAGGTGTCTGACCTCGGACAAGCTGACTTAAAACAAAAATGTTCTTCAGTGAGATGCATCTTTGCAGGGTTTCTGTGCATCTGTAGGTTTTGCATGAGTAGTTGAATGCAAATTTGGAGAGAACTGAAAGTTCAAGAACTGGCCATTTCGACCCTATTCTGCTCTCTTCAAATTACCTTTCCTTGCTGTTAGTGGCAAAATTAGAAGGATTTCCAAGTTCTTTGGAACAGACACTTTGACCTCCTCTGTATATGAGCATCTGGTATTGTTTAGAAAAATAATAAAATTTAATGGTGACAGAGCTTTTCTTTCCTTTGCTGCTTTCTAAATGCATTTTTAAAAGCTGCAAATAAAGTTGGAGGACCGTAATTAGATGTGTACTCTCTAAACATATTAAATTCTAGCTTCTTTACTTCAGAGAATGTTAATGATGTGAATTTTCCCAAACATATCAATCTTGACTGCTCAGTTTAAATGGGTTTCAGCTGGTGTTGTTTATGGGTAGAGAAGGAAGGTTTTTATGGGGAAACCCTGTTTGTTTCATATTGTTTCTCTGAATTTTCCCTTCCATACTTACTTTGACTCTACGTTAGCCTGTCCTGCCCACTACTCTAATCAGGAACAAGGAGATAAGAAGTGCTGGCTTCTTCTACATGGCAGCGTCATCGGCTGCCACCAGTTCAGACAGAAAGACAGAAAAGGAAGTAGGCTGGAGTGAGTTTTGTTCAGTCTCCTGGGAAGGAGAAAGAGGTGGGAAGTGAATGAAACCCTGAGTTTTGCCTCTTTTTCCTACATGAGGCAGTGGTGGGGATGTGCTGGGGCAGGAGGGGACTGCTCTGTGGCACCGCACTCCCAGCCTGGAGCAAGCATCGTGCTTATTGAATGCTATTTCACATTCACATTCAAAGCCAAACTGAATGTGGCAGCTCTCAAATTGCAAGGAAAGAGGTGAGAAAGTAACACGCCATGAAACATTGTACTGGCCTGTTCCCTGCCCCGTGGTGGTGCCGTGTACCTCCAGGGAACAGGCAGACGCTCACTCTGCTGTGGGCTAGGAAGTTCCTCGGTGTCGAAGAGTAGTGGTCTCTATGTCCCTCAGTGGTGGGCGATACCATCTGAATGTTTTACGAAATGAACATATAAAGGCTATTATGATAACCCTGAGTGACTCTTTCCTTAGATCTGAAAAGCTTTACAACAGCTCGAGGCCATGTGTATGCTCGATAGTAAATTTGATGGAGCAACGCAGTCTTTGTGGAGGATCTAAGCACCGTACACCTAAGGCTTAGGACTAAGTCTGGTTTGATCCTGTGAACGGATCACTTCTTAGTGCTTGGCACACAGAGATGCATTCCTGTCAGTGTAGTTTTATCCCAAAACACTGTGTTATGCAGCCCAGGGTTGTGTTGTGGTATGAACCGAAACATAGGAGGTGAGGAGGACCACAAGATTTGCATCAAAACTGCACTCCCCATCTGAATTAAACTATGAGTGTAGGCGCACTGCTGTAGGGTCATATTAACACGATTGTGAAGAAAAGAGAAAAGGAAATGGGGGAAAGCACACAAGGGAGAAGAAGCAGAAGATGTCAATGGAGCTGGAAACAAGGTGGGAGTGTTTTCAGTAGTAGGCACCCTTTTGCTCTCACTCTGCATCAACAGGGTTTTATCAGCCCCTGAGCTTCTCAGGGAAGCTCCTCAGACCCTGCTGTCCTTCAGTATGTGAACTGGAGCCGTGTATCAGCAGACGTGTATCTTCCTCTTGTGCTGAGGGAGACAATCTGGCAGTCATCCCTCTCCATAAATACCACCTGACTGGGCTAGTCATAAACTTGCGGGTTTTGTTACTGTAGTCATTTAAACCTGGTTCATGGTGTAGTGCTTGTTTCTCTGTGGTGAGGAAGTTTGGGGTTCCAAAACCACTTTACATATATGGATGTAGAGGAGAATGGGCACAGGGACGTTCACCACCGGGTAGCTGACGTGCTGAAAGCTCGTCAACTTGTACAAGCTCTCTCACAAAATCCCTTACAAGAGCTATGAGCATAAGGTCTATCCTGTATTAATATGAACTCACAAAGCTCTGATTCCTAATCTGCAATGTTCCCAGTTCTCAGGGAAGACAGTTCATTTGGCCTGATGCATCAATAAGGTGCAGGTTGTAAGATGGTATAAGAGAGGTTGAAAAAAAACTAAACCACACTTTCAGTTCTCAGAAGGTGGTGTGTTTGAATTTCAAAATGCTTTCATTTTGCAATCTGTCTCCAAGCAAAGATCCCAGCAGTTTGTTAATAGAAAAGCACAGGATTATAGATTTGGATCATATTTCATCTCAAACTGGGTACATATACCCCATGTAGTTTATGCAGACACTTACCCCATACCATGGATTATTAGTCCAATAAAGAAGACCACAAAGAGGTGATGGGTGTACCAGAACACCTCATAGCATGCCTTTCTGATGAGCTCGGTGGATGAAGTCATGATCAGAATTAAAGCCACAGTTATCACAACTCCAGTTACTCCAGCTATGGTGCTTAGTACCTCTCCTGTTGTGCTCTAGAATAAGAATACATTATTAATATTAATATTAGTATTTGTGTTAGTATTACTATTAGTAGTTGTTGTTATAATTGTTATTTTTATTACTATTTCTGTTACTGTTACTATTGTTACTGTTGCTGCTTTTACATATGAAGCCAAAATCTAAGATAGATATTTTCAGCATAGGTCTAAAACCAGAACAAGACATGGAGACAGGGCAAGCCTCCATTTTACCACAGAAGAGCATGGAAAAACATCCCTATTTTCCACTCAGGCTTATCCCAGACAGATGTGTAAATGTTTGTTGCCACTTACTTGTTCCAGGAATCGAAAGGAGGAAATTAGACAGTCTCATTAGTACTTTTATCTATTTTGCTTATGTAAAAGTGTCTCAGAAAAAAAGGAAAATGATTAGAGAAATGAGAAGATTAAATCTAGAGATGTAATAAGCAAAACAGCACTAGAAAACAGCTTATTCATATGAGGGTGATAAAGTGAGATGCTAAGACACCTGCAACCATAAAGGTGTGTGGCTCTTTTGCGCTTAATTTACTTCAAAGTTTGTGGGTTTTCAGCAGCCCTGAAATGCTGTATAAAAATGGCGTGCTCTCATTTACCTAAACAGCATATCTCATGTACATGTTCCTTACATTTACCTGGAGATACATTGGATAATACTTGCGTTTATTTTTTAAAAGATTTATTTGTATTTGCATTTTTATGCTTGTCAGTGATGAATCATTAATATGCTGGGCTTGAAGAAGTTTCTTCTTGTTCATGACTGAGAGACATCGGCACAGGTCTGTTACATCTGTCTAAACTCACCAAAATAAACTGAAGTGAGAATGAAGATGTATTTTGAACGCAAGGGTCAGATGCTGATCTCAGTTATAAAGTGCAAATGGTGAAGAACAGCAGTAAAAATCTCACACGCAAGATGAGACTCAAGCTGAATATGCCAGCAGAGTGTAAATGAAGTCCCCATTTGGCCTACAAAGCATATATATCTGTTTTCCTGGTGCTGATGTGCAGGAATGAAGGCCCTCAGCGTGCCTTCTGGATCCTGAGTTGGTTCTACAGCTTAATATAGTAGGAAAAAAAAAAGCCTATACTGTACTTGTAAAGTGCACTCATTTGATATGGAAATCCTAGAGGTGATAAAATTCCACAATGCCATTTTTACAGTCAATTTTACAGTAAAATCATTCTTTCAAATGTTCACACTTGACAGCACACAGTACATTTTCAAATTGGTGCCTGTGAAGAGTGTGTTCGGATCCTATTACATATTAACAGGATTGATCTAGGAGATATTTTGAACATTTCCATTACAGTGGCTAGTTTGAATGTTGAGATGAAACAGGGAAAAAATGTCAAAGACACTTAGTGCATTCCTACGCCAGGGGTAGGATGAAACTGAAAAGAACACCTGAACTGTTGCTTTCAGAACTTTTTTCTCTGAAGTTAGAAGAAATCTGTTATTTGCTTTCCTTCATCACTTATTAATTCTGAGTGTAGCTACTGAGATGTAAGTGGGTGATAAAAGAAATATAAATATTAGAGATTAGAGTAAAATCTAGTCTGATAATTGTGGGGCATATTACTGTGAGAAATCTAGGAAAGGATCTCAGAAAATGCTAGCCTTCCTCCTCAAGGGTATTTAGGATCTTAATGTTAATTAGAGGCCTACTTCACAATTATATCACCGTGGGAAGGCTTAGTGGAGAAAAAAATGCATGCTGAAAGTTAGTAGGTTCATGTTCAGAGCTGTGAGCTCTGTTCCGTTCCTGGAGAACATCTCAGGTGCATGTGGTGAGAGTGGGCACCGGGTGTGCAGAAAGTCTGGGCGGCTTAGTCTGTGCTTGCTGTCCTGTTCTGATAAACCTAACTACTTTGTCAACACTAACATCAAGACTTTGGTGTTCACACCATTGAGACCATTCTTTTGCTTGGTTTTCTTCAAACTTGAGAATCATTTACTTGTTTGTTTGGAAAGATGCAAGACTCACATTATCTAAACTGGAAAGGAACTGAGAAAAAAATAGGACAAATTGCCTTGTGAGTGGAAAGTACTATTGAATCCTGCTGATGGTTGTCCGGCCATCACCTCGCTTTGTTTCTCGTTTCAGTGGAGCACACCGCTGACTGAAAGAGCCCCACACCATGTTCATGCAGCCTTTATTGTGTGCTAGCTATCTGGGAAATTTCTAGAGAGGAGAAACAATGTGTGTGGGAGTCTCACCAGGGCCATTTCAACCCTGGGGCATACAGGAGTATACAAGAGTGCACATAAGTAAACAGAGAACATCTACGTGACGTATAGTATGATGGAATAAGGAAAAAAGCCGATTATTTTTTGCATGTTTTACATGCATGCATGGCAGAAAGGATCTGTTTTTCTTTATGAGTGTTATAAAGAATAACTTCTCTACCCATGCTGTTTTGAGATAGCCAAGGAAGTGGACAGGAGACACAGTAACTTTTCTTCCCCAAAGCAAGCAGAACCATTTATTTGCAGGGCTGAGGTGCTCATAGTCCCACTTGTCTCTGAAGAGTACACACCGGCTCTAGCTTCCCAGTGCACTGACTCCTACATGCTGGAATCCTCGGGGTGGTTTTGCACGTGCTTTTCCCCAGGCAGCCACAGTCAACGTGGAGCAGGGCACAATCAGCCCCCAGATTGGGAAGATACTGCGCAACCATGGGGAGAGACAAATAGGAACTGTGAAAGAAATGTTGTTATGCGATACTGGTGTTTTGGTTTTTGTTTTTTTTTTTTTTCTTTCTGGAAAGAGGTTGTGTTTGTTCCATATATTGATAGTTTAGTTTCGTTTTTAAAAATTCTTTGCAAGTTCATTTCATTGTCTGCTATTCATAGTACTCCTTATCCCACCCCCACCCCCAACTGTCTCCTGACAAACTAATTAAAATACTGTAGACATTTCTTTGAGCTTAGTAACCTGAAAATTGCAGCTCTGAGTGAGTGTTTTCAGCTGAAATTGAGGTTAACCTTTGGCAGCACCTTCTCGCTCTGGTTAAAAGGCTTTGAAATACAGTTTTACCAACAATAGAATCCACAGAGGAAAACTTTTTAGATGAGGAAAACCAAAAAGTGACAGCTTACTGTTTCATAGGTCCTGATTGGGTTCAAGTAGCTTTCGTTGGGGCTCTTGCCAAGGCCAGAAAGTTTATTCCGTAACTCCCCGGCTTCCTTCGACTGACTGGTATGATACCGCTCGATGTTGATCAAGTGGGCAACAATATGGATGGCTGCATAGGAGAAAGAGTGGTGTGAAATTACAGACACACTTGTACGTGTCCACAGTGCCAGAAGGAACTTCGTTAAGCAGACTATGAACTATTTGAAAAGCTTGGGCATACGTTGAGAGCTTTGCATGAGTTAAGCTGACAATAAAGAGAAAATTTTATCAAATTCATGTCTAATACAAAGTAACTGCTTCACACGGGAGAGAAGAGGAAGAGCTCCAGGGTCACCTCCCATGTTTAAGGTCAAATGCCCTGCAGTCCTCAGTGTCATCAAGGGACAACCTCTCGAGAGAGGATATAAAGGTGTTTGCTTCTGATTTTAAATTGTTCAAAACGAGGCAAACTGGTTAAAATCCCTGTTTTTTTATTAATATGCTAGGATGTGCCATGGTCTAATATTGCTATGCAGGACACTAACTTGTCTGCTTTAGGCATAGACCAGTTTGCAACTTGCACCAGGGATACTTAAGAGGTGCATCCAAAATCTGTCCCCTATTAACAAGTAGCTATAGCATTACTTTATGCAGGTGAAGCCTGGGGAAGCCACAGGAATTGTGATTTTAAGGGGGAATTCTGAATCACAGTGTTAGATCTGATTTGCCCTGAACATCATATATCACCTCTACTTCTGGCCTGCTTCCAAAATGTATTATCAAATGGTCAGTTTAGAAAAACGTTTGGACTGAAAGAACTCCCCTGCAATTCTTTTCCTGAGTGCAAAGATGGTAATTTCACAAGAGGGAAAAAGGAAGAACTTTGTTTTATTATTGGGTAACACAGATAAAGTTGTAGTCATGCTAGGTGCAGAGATTCAATTTTCAATATGAGAGATTCTCAAATCCATTACAGGAAAGTTGTGATTAATGCAAAACATTAAATGCCAAAGGATGAAAAAATGACAATGAAAAACAATTATATGTTTACAGTAGAGCTATTAGGATATGCTATTTCTAGGTTTTGTAATTAGCTTCCCGTTATCATCTCTCCTTCAGTGTGTATCTGTTCCTGCCCCTGACCATTTAAAAAGCCTTTCTAAAAGGCAGTATTTGTAGTAAATCAAACATGATCTGCTTCCCTGAACAGTATTCTCTCAAAAGAAGATTATTTTTTCCTTTTAATTTTTCTTCTTTTTTTTCTTTTTTCTTCTTCTCTCTTCTTCCTTCTTTCTTCTTTCCTGTTTCCTCTTGTTTCTTTTTTTTTTTTTTCCTTTTTTAAATTGTAACTATTTGCACAAAAGTAATGTCTATCTGTGCTATTCACTGTGTAATCAGAGATGAAAACATGGAATGAAATGCATAAGGACTTTGGTATCGCGAAGTCTTTTTGGTGCCTATCCACTTGGTGAGCTCTCTCACTCCGCGTGCCGCAGTCCGGCTCCTCTGCAGCTGCTGGGAGAGCTGTGGCCATGGGAATATGAGTTAAGGCAGGGTGCTGGCCATGGAAGTACTTAAAGCAGCCGGTGCAAAAAGGTAGAAGGTTGCACTCGTCCCCCCAACAGTAGGTTAGACAATTGGTCCGGGCTGGGGAGAGGTTGTATTCACTCTGTCCTTCTGAGGTGATCCTTCTAGAGCAGTAGATGTGCTGTGGTTGGGTGACTGTCAGGTTTTACTTCATTCAAAACATAATCTTAGCTTAGGGACTCCCCCCCGCCACTCCCTAACACCCGCTTCACCTCATTGCCCCATGCTTAGATACTCACTGGGAGATGAAAGACCTCTTTTTAAATCCTCGTTACATTAAATTTAAAGTAGGGCTTTAAACCAAATCATATGTCCTAGTCACTGGACTGACTGGTTGTTTTTTTGTGAGCTGTCTCCTGATGAAACCCTTAATAAAAATAATCAAATATTTATTGACAAAGGCATCCCAAGTTAATATCCTGAGCACCCAAACTGCAAAATCAAGCTCCCATTTTTTCTGAATCTTTGGCCCCATGAATAATAAATTATTTATACAAGCTGGAATAGCTTCAGCAGAATGGAGACTGAATCCAAATGGGTATGAACTGCACAGAGATAAAATGAGCCTGGAAATTAGAAGACAGATTCAAGCCATCAAAGGAATGAGACTCTGAAATAACCTTTCAATAAACGAGATAATGGGATCAAGCAATCTAAGCAGCTTTCGGTTGAAGGTTGGTCATTTTATGAAATAGCATATATGACGTGACTGTGAGCATTAGAGGGTATTGGACTGGGTGACCCGGCATGTCCTGCGTACACTGTTGCGGATTAGGTGTTGCATCTGAAACAACCTGGCCAGCATCCCCAGAGCCTGCACATGAGAGGGTGCTCCCAGCACCTCGCAAGGCTGGGATGATGGAAGGACGATTACTCTGTGGAAGGAAGGTTATGCTAGACCACAAGCAGCGAGTGAGATGTGTGGATTCAGACTGTCAAAACCGAAAAACTTGAGAGGCTCTGAGCTGCAGGGTTTAGGTGGCAGCTGTGTGGGGGCTGTGGCAATCTGTTCCCCAGCGTACAACTGATGTATAAGCAGTATATAAACACTGTTTATGTATTTAAGTGTAACAGAACTTTTAAGTGCTGAGTGGGAAGAGGTGGAACTGTTCCTGCAAGGGGTTCCTTTCAGAACAGATGTTTTGGCCTGGTAAGGATGTTATCAGATCCAGCTGGAAGGGAACCAAGTCATTGCTTGATGAGGACCTGATTTCTCTGACATCTGAAAGAGCTCACTCGGAGGACGGGAGTGCGGGGTAACGGACTGCTGCCTGCGGTAGGTTATGGAGTTACACGCTGCATGTAGCCTGGTATGAAACTAAGGGAAAGTGGAGAGAAAACTTTCAAAGGATGGAAAGCCCTGACAATGAATCTCCAAGTGGACTTCTACGAAGCAGTTAGAGCTTAGCAACTGCTAGTGATTGCTGGTGCAACCAGTAATGGTACTTGGACCTATTGACCTCTATACCTGCAGGATAACTCCGGTATGACGTCATAGTCACCATAGCCTTGTGACCACGTGAGTTTTAGTGATCCATAGTGTTGTTTTACCAAGGGTTCCCTGCAGCATATAAACGGCAGGTTTTGGACTATCCTTGCTCACTTAAAATAGCAACATCGAATAGGAGTGGAGGTTTGAATTCGTGTTCATAGCATAACACACTTTATTTTATTCACCTTCAAAACACACAGATTTTTTTAAAAAGCAATACTGCAGATTGTGAAGTCTTCACGTGAAATGATGACATTTCTGTTGTTTAGAAGGCTACAAAATCTTGCACTTTCCTCAAAGTGCAGCGTTGCACATGATTTGTACAAATTCTGATCATGTCAGCAGTGACGGGAAATGTCATGCTATCTGGCATACGCCGAGTGTTGAGAGTGAAACGAGGCGGTAATTTCTTCCAGACAGAGGTCCACGTTTCCTAACAGAGTATTTCTAGTCTTGAAAGGAAAAAAACCTGGGTTGAATAGATATAGCTTCCCAAGAAGGTCTCGAGCCTAAGGTTTAATGAAGAGTAGCCATGTTGCAACTTTTCCCTGGAAGAAGAGATCTGCTTTCTGCAACCTAACCTTTTTTCTACAGGCTATTAAAGGACACTGTTTTGTCCATCGGCATATTGTTGTGCTTTACTCGAAGTGTTACTGTCAATGGAAACATCATCATACCTTCTTCTTTGGGATTTACCACGGCTTCCCTTCTGGGTGACACTCCCTCCAGCTTTCATCTAACAGATAGAAGACATTACAAGTGTAGAAGACTTCCAGAATGAATAGGAGAGTTTTTTTCCTGCAAGCTATTCTGTGGTAGCTGTTAATGTACAGAGTATAATTTTCCAGTGTATCATACGAACATTCAAACTAATAATGTACTGAATATGTTGGTTTACCTGAGTCTCCCATAATCTTAAATATTGCCTAGAGTGTTATCAGATTAATACTTCTGATGGTTTTTTGTGTGCTGCTAGGAAAAAATGATACAATCTAAAAATAAATTATAGCTGGACGGTAAGTAATGCAAAGATCTAATTCCATTTTCAGTGTGGTTCATTTAATGTACAGTAGTTGTAGCAAACTAAAATGTCTGGCACTGGATACATTGCCATTAGCTAAAATATTTTACATCCCTAAAGTGCATTTTCTGAAGGTCTTTGCATCTGCAGTGTATAGAATTTACTAAGCAATTCCAAAATTAATATGCAGATTTCTGAAAACTGAGCTTCCAACAGTTGGGTTTTTTTTCCCTTGCACCACTTAGATAAGTTAACCACGGAGGCAAAGTTTAAGGTACTGCATCTCAGGATTTTCTGTTAATTTTTTTCCTCATTCTGCATGACCAAATATAAAGTATAGAATAAATCATGCAATCTTTTAAACAAAGGGGTTTTTTATAACTGTACATGAAGACTGAAGGATTTTGACTGTTGTTCTTAACAACATCTGGAACCTCTGAAGCACTTAACATACATTAATTTGTATTTGACCCTGAGATGTTCTATCTAGTCCACCTCTGAGATCAAATGAAAGGTTTTATTGGAAGGAGGGAGGGAGGAAAAGGGGTTGCTATTAGAGCATGGTGTTTACTCTACATATTCTTAAATACAAAGAGATGTAATTAAATTATCTTGAAAGTCTGGTCAATTTAGCTAGTTTTATTCAGCCAATTGTGCCTTCAGTGAAGCATGCACAACTCTCATTGAACTAAACAGAAGTTGCATGTGTTTATCTAAGGACAAGATTTCACTCTCTCTTTTTCTGCATGCCTGTACAGGATAATAATCAAATTGGAGCTTGCTGCTAGCAGTTAAATGTTTTGGTTAACCAACCCATCATGATAAAATCAAAGGGTCAAATCCTGACCTTTCTGCCCACAGTGAAAAGAACGTCTTTGCAAGCGGCTAACCCAGGCCTGGGGAATTCTGCCCCTGGCCAAGCTTGGGTTCTTCTGCCACCCACTGCCTTGTGCCTTTTCTAGTTACAGACAACCCTTAATTCAGCTTCATGCTGTCTTTGTGAACCGAAAAAGCGCAGGTTATGTAAAAATTAAGGTAATAGTGACCACACACATACTTACATTAGATTTTTTTTTTTTAAGAATGTTTATAAACATCAAAGAAGAACATGACTTGGACCATTTTTTATCCTAGCTGGAAGGTTATAATCTTTAATTTAATGTAGTTTCCTTCCTCGTACTTGCACTAAGTCTGGATTTAAACAATCTGACTGAAAAAAAAATGCAGTTTAATGGAAATTTGATTTTCTGTAATTTCTGGAAGTTCAAGACTGAAATATCAGCTAAACCTCTTTTGAAGACAAGCATCTACTTCCCTGAAAACTTCATCACTTACACAAAAATGTTACTCAGATCACCAAAGCCCTTCATATGGCCACCACTACCAAAATGTGGTTGCAAATGGAAAGGTTTTCTAGTATTTTTAACTATAGATTTTTTAGTACTTGTCAGAAGCCAGACACCCCTGGCATCACTATACTTCTGTCTGCATTTTGCATATTTTTAAAGAAAGTCACACTGCTGGGATTTTTAAGGAGCAGGAACCACCATTTCAAACAGCCTAACTACAAAGAACCTCACTGTCCTTTCCCTGCTTTCCCTTAATTGCTTAAGCTTTATTCATATCATAATTCAAAGACTGTTGGAACAATATATCTATATAACCTTTCTGCAAACATCAAAACAACACAAGAAGCAGTTTGTTCTTCAAAATATGCACCATATGCCAAAGTAAAAAAAAAAAAAAAAAATCCCCTCATATCATAATTCAAAGACTGTTGGAACAATATATCTATGTAAAGCAAAATAAAGAAAATACTGCAAACATCAAAACAACACAAGAAGCAGTTTGTTCTTCAAAATATGCACCATATGCCAAAGTAAAAAAAAAAAAATAAATCCCCACACACACTCCTCACTTTAGAAAATGTATGAATGTACTTTCTTATGAGGGTAAAAACAATACAGTAAGGGAGAGGAGTTGTACAAAAAGTTATTTACTATGTCTTGTACATATCTTTAGGTTTCAGACAACCGCCTCTCAACTGAAAAGTCTCTTTTGCATTAGAAAGCCTAGAATGATTTGCACTGCTCAAGCTGAGAGTGCCTGAAACTATGATTTTATTCTAGCAGAGTTACAGTTCTGTAAGGAAGATTTATGAGTGGGTGAATAACTCCCAGACAGCTCTTATCACAGACAGGCATGCAGAACGCAGGAAGCCAAACTAAGCAGAATTCCCTTTACTGAATTTTCAATGATGCCCTTGATTATAGATAGCATTGTTTACTCTCTCTCTTTCCTCCAACTTCCCTCTTCCACTAGTCTCTAATTATATCCCTTTATGACCTGACCAATTAAAGACTGCTCTTGAATTTGTATTAGAGTTGATGAAAAATTAAAGGTACAGATGTACTTTTTCCAAGGCCACGCACACCTCAGCTGAGCTGGCTGCCTGTTAGAAGCCAGACAATATTAGTGTTGCACTGACTATTTTTAGCGCGTTATTAAATAAATATGCTGGAATAACACTACCTGGCAAGCTGAGATGAATACATGTTGCTTTAATAATAAAGGAGTCTACAATTTTATATTGTGAGGCTAAGCTTACTGATCTGATCTTCCAATTGGTTTAACTTCTTGCTGCCACATTAAGGCTATTGATCATAGAGGGGAGAACATTCATTTAACTAAGAATTACTAAATTGCCATAGACTAATAGGAGTTGACTATGCTTTTGTGTAACAGAAGGCAATATAGGTAGTACTTGGATAAATAATGTGTCAGTTGAGAGGAAAATGGCATTTATTTACACATCATTTTAACACTGTTAGATTTTCTAAAAAGGGACTCAATATACTTGTGGGTACCTCTTTACTCTGAAACGTTGCTTTTCTGTTACAATATGTGCTGTAGATTGTATTTTTTTTAATGAATCTGGAATTTCATTTCAGGCAACTGAGTTTCTGGCCATTCTTTACCCAAGTCTGACTATACAGTGATGTAGTGTTTTCTCAAATATGATCGTTGTTTCTCACTTGTCTGTTAGGGAAGGATGAGTTCGTAAGTTGTCATGCTTTGTTCATTAGACTTCCCTGTATTTTTTTTTTCTTCCTCAAATATCTCATCAACTATTTGTCCATTTTATATTCCAGGAAAAAACCCAACCCAAATAACAACCCAACCCTCATTTTCTCCCTAGAGAGTGACAGAATTAAATAATGGTTCTTTCTGTCATTTCACATCAGCTCCTGTGTCTTTTTCCTTGGAATTACTGAAGCCATAAAGTAATCACTTTTCTGATAGACTTGCACTTCCCAAACTGTCCACCTTAATGCACTAGCAAACATTTCTATATGAATGTCAGAACCAAAAACATAAAAGGTTTGACTGTGCAGTTTTGCTTTCTTTTTGGAGCATGACAAATTATACACCAAGTAGAAGTTGGTTAATTTACATTCCTGGGTTGATTTGTTAATTAAAGAAGCAATGTTGCATTCTGTAGGAATCTGCTTTGTGCTGAAACTGAACTCTGATAAATGAATGGACATGACAGATAAGTGAATCATCATAATACACTATAAGATGCACATTCTCATCCCCCAGCCTTCCCCTCTGAATTCTCTAACACTACGTACAAAGGACAAATTTTAGCTATTGATTCCTGATGTAAGTCCTGACTTCGTATTCTTTTCTCACTGCATGGGAACATTAACAGCCTACACTCGCAGAAGCGGCTCCCTCATGTAGACTGAAAAAAAATATTGGGACCAGGATCCACCCTGACAGCCTGGGGGTAGAACTGTTACCCTGCAATGTCTTATGCTTGCAAGTAACCCTTATTAAGTCTTGTGTCTCCTTCACATTTTCTAAGAGAACTATCTGCCCCAGATACCTCCCCATCTCTATGTGCTTACACCCTTCCTCATATTGCCTTTCATTCTTTCTTCTCTACATGTCCCTCTTCTCCATGCTATCTCCTGTTCTCCTCGTGTCCTCTGAATTCCTACAAGCTTCAGTCTTCTCCAGGTCCTTTAACCACCTGGGGAATGGGAAGGTGACATGTTCTCTTTCCAGGTGAATGGACACCTATAGCTCAGTAAGTCACTAGGACCAGCAGAACAGTTAACTTTGGACCTCAAGATGCAGTTTTTCCCTCAAGGGGGAAATTAGTTCCCTGTACCCATCATCTATTAAAAAAAAATATTTAGGAATTTAATGTTTTTGAGACAGCAGCTTGTCTCAAATTCAGATTATATTTATTGGTTGAAAAATTATTGAATAAGGTGTAGCAGTGGACAGATGAGTGGTGTGACTTGTAAGCACCATTTCCTTAGGAAATCAAACTGTAATGCTATGTCATCTCCCCAAGCATCTACCCTCAGGGATTTAATTAAAATTATTTACATGAAATGTGAAGAACACACAAGTTGGTCGTATTAATTAAATGGCAACTAGTAGTTACTAGCCAGGTAGAAAGTTTATTGACTTAACAGTCAAACTTTTCTCAAGCAAGGAAGGTTACAAATGGTTAATCAGATGGGACTCCTACACCTATGTAAAGCTGCAGTTACCAAATGATTGCACTAAAATAGCACATCTCAGAGCTGATGGGGATTACAGCATTAGACAGAATCACTGTGAAATTCAAAACAGTTCAAAGGCAAAGAAGCAAAAAAAAAAAATCTTACTTGCATTTACAGCAATTCCATAGGCAACCATCTTGTGAAATGCGATGTTTTTGTCAAGCTGTCTCCTCAGTGCCCCTCCACAGCACTTGGCAGAAAAGCAGAACTTGTTTTATATCATTCTTGTTATTATTTACAACTCACATTTTGGAGAGGAGAAGAGAGAATTTCAGTACATTTAAATATGGAATGTTGAAGGAATTCAGTGGAAGTTTTGGGTTAACCCTAGCTTGAGCGCTCAGGTAACTGGTTTTGGCACAGTGACACTCCAGGATTTCTTAAACTATTCAGCCTATGTAAGGACTCAAAAACAGGTTTTATAAAACTCTGCTACATTTAGCTGTGATTTGTGAGTGGTTTATCTGGGCTGGTGATTAACTCATTTGCTGGTATAAGGTCACTAAGCTGGGCCACCTGCTTTGCAAGCTCAGGTTTAGCTGCATGAACACAGCTGAACTGCTGGCAAAGCTGGATTACCATGAAAATATTTTTTCTGCTTTCATGAAATGCTTACCCTAGGAGAGTGAGGCTGTCTAGACCTCAGGTGGCTGCACGCTTATGTGTTACTGAGCCATCTTCCCATTGTTGGAAGCACTTGATGGTGGCCAGCTGGGTGCCTCTGCTCAGAGCCAGCCTGCGGCCGGGGCGGGCTGCGGTGAGCCAAAACTAACACATTTGGCTGGAACCCAGACAGCCCTCACGGCCCTAATGCAGTCTCTAAATGGTGTTGTGGGTGTCTGGATTGCTCGCGTGACCCGGCACGGTGCCATGCCAAAGATCCTGGCATTTCTCCATATTGTTTCCCAGCTAATATATCTTCCAAAAATCTGGAGTGCCGTGGGGTGCGATGCCAAGACACAGCACCTCCTTGGAGAGGCACTGGATCCAGGCTGCTGCTGACCATGCTGGAGTCAGTCAAGTTGCTCTGTACCATGCTCCTCAAGAGCCGAATATTGTCCAGGAGAGCAAAATACTGATTATCTGTGAGAAGAGTTCCAGTTCTCTGAGTTCCTACTCATCATCTAAGTGGGCATGCTTATATTTTGTGTAAATTCACAAACTGATTCAGAAGTCCAACAAGGCTTTTTTTTAAAAAAATGCTCAGCTCGTGGACTCAAACAATTAGAAAACAGTGTTGATTCCCAGCCTAAAGACTGCTTGAAACATTACTCTAACTCTGAAGAAAAAAAAAAGGCAGAACTGAAATAAGAACCAGCTTACAATAAAATAAATTAATGTTATGATTTCTAAATTCCTGTTGTTCTTGGAGTCATGAAGTGGTCAGCAATTTTTTTACCCAAACATGTGGTATTGGAATTGCTCGGAGTATAATAATTCACTGCGAGTTGAAGCTATAGCTAGTAGAGTTAAAGCCTTAAGTAATTCCTATGAGTGATACTGAAGTTAATGTAAATTTCTCTGAGCAGATGACCACTCCATTACAAAAACACATGTTTACGGGAAAGGAAGTCCTGAATGGTGGCCGCTCAGACAGAAGGGTTTAAACGTGTTCCTTATTATCCTTATGACACTTTTATCTGTACATTTTCACCCTCCAGTTTTCACTTTGCAGCTACACAGGATACACATGATGGATACATATTTTCTCCATTTAGCCAAGTTGCATTATTACGTCCCTTTTTTGTAGCTTCTCACTTTTCTCTTCATGACACCATGCTATGCAGCGGCTGCCAAAATCAGTGTTGCATTTAGAGCACTGTGTTAAACAAGCCATTTATTTCTCTTCAGTCATGAATACTGACAGTTTAAATGGTAATAACAAGGCAATAGTCTACAGACTTCTCTATCAAAAATTAAAATTCCTTGGAAAATGTTTGATATGAATAATACTGCTGAAGTATGGAAATAAAAAAGGGAGGATAAGATGGCTAGTTGAGAAATGGTACTTACAATGCTTGCTCCTCTTAAGAATGAAATAAGGTTTCTACTGACTGGTAACAGGATTAGCATGCAGTTAAAATTAAGGCATGTTGCAGAAGCTCTTGCCCAAGCCAGGGTTGACTGTACATATAACAGTATAAATAAAATAAATTACAAGCTTGGTATAGAAAAAGCAAAATAAAGAAAATACTGCATTAACATAATACTCTTATATGGGAAAATTACTGTTGAAGCATCAAAAATACTATTAAGAACGATGTAAATAAAATCAGACTACGCATACTTTCTTCTTGTGGAGCGCTTTAACAATCAAACTCGTACTTACTCCCAGCATAATCCGTGTATAAATGTAAGCATCTTCATCTTCATACCAGTGGAAGGTATCAATAAACAAATAGAAATTCAGTCCCAGCCACACCAGCTACAAGCAGACAGGCTACAGATTAGTGATACTTACAATGTTTTTTTAGTGCATACAATACTGGTTATGGTTATAGTTCTAAAAGTATCTGAGAGATACTTCAAAATCAGTGTGCAATGCTGTTCTTGATCACAAATGACAGAAATCGCAAATGTCTGCTAGAATGAGGCTATCTTTTAGCAAATGCAGGATTACAGTCCTATCCCCACATACCCAGTAGAGGACATAGATGATATTTACTGTGTGATCGTAAACTTGATCTTAAACACAGGGCATAGCCTGGTCTCTAAAAAGGCAATAAAAGCTAAAAGTAAAGAATTCCAGAAATGGAGGGAGTTAGGAGCTGGGGAAATTCCTTTCTCTGCCTCACATACCCAATTCACCAAAGCCTCTGAAAATAATTCAGAATATAATTTCAATTACAATTGCAAACCCCTGTTCCCTTTATCTGAGGACTAAAGTACACAGACTTAAAAATAATTAAAAATAAAACAGTAAGACTTTAAATTGTTTTTAAGACTAGTTATAAAAAGGCTGCTGAATATTTTATAGCAAGTTTTACATTAAGCTTGGGAGTATTACTGTAAGCAAACCATAAAATGTCTTTTAAACAAGCTTAAAATATTTATATATATCCAATTAGATTTTTTTAATGCTAAAAATACTCACTAATAACAGCACTGAGAGTTTTTCTTTCAAAATCCAGTATCCCATCCTGAGTGCCTCTCCCTATGCTAGCAGCAGCTGACTCCTGCCTTCCAGTGTAACCTGAGTTCTCTGTCCATTCCTCGGGCTTTTCTACCAACTCCCTTTGTCTTTAGGTTTTAATAAGCACCTAGTGGGAGCAGGAGCTCTCTCGAGGAATTTTCTAATTAAGGACTGCCTGACAAGAACAGATCACTCAAGTGACATGTCTCATGACCTGTGTAAATAAAATACTTGTCATTGTCCGGTCCTTTCTCTCTCTTATTTCTCAGCAAATGAGAGCTGCTGTCATTAAATTGTCCTCTTGTACTAGCACATATTTGGGTGAGGGTTTTTTGCTTTGTCTTTGCAGTTTGAACAGAGTGCAACATTTCTTCATCATTTGTCTTTTAATTTAGTAGCAAAGGGAAGCATCCCTTACTTGTGTATAAGATGGGAGCATTGCTAAAAGATCTTGGGAGTGGCAAAGTCACTCAGAAGTTGGGAATTGTCAGTGTAAAGGATGCCCTTCTAACATTCATCTGGATTTCTTGGGAATATAGATTATGACAATGTTAAATGCATGACAGTTTTTCATTCAGTTGGCTGCAGTCATAAAATAAGCAGTTACTTTCTCCTATTTCCATTTTTCCATGTAAGGACAAGAATTTTACTTCCTTCCCTCCCTGCTAGGAGGAAAGAAGTAACAATTAATTTCCTCCTGGGCTTCTCTGTCAAGCCTCACAAACATCAGCTGCCATCACTCCTGACCTGTGAGCTGAGGAGAGGATGCATTTTTCAGAGGTCTGAGCACAGAGGGGTTAGGAAAAAAAAACCCCATGTCCCTTACTTTGTGTATGTGGCTTGAGCAGCCCGGCAGGTGCTGCGACTCTCCATGTGCTCCGGACCCAGCTCCTACATTTTGTCCACAAAGTGTCGTTGCTTTGGCAGGACTTAAGGTACTTAGGAAATAGAAGCCTCTTCCAAATACAATCCACAAACACTGTCCAGCACTAGAGTTTACCCATTTTTTTTTTTTCAGGATTTGTTTTTATTTATAAAACCAGATGTTCCTGTTCCTCTGAGTTTGTCCTCAGGACTGTTCAGCCTACTTCCTTCTCAGAGGTTTATTCCTGCGAGGATCTAATGAACCATCTGCAAAAATGAGTCAGCAGGATTCAGTACCTCTCAGCACGATCAAACCCTTTTGACAGGCCAGTGTAACAGAGAATGCTGTCAGTCTGTTCAAGACTTTTCTTTCGTAGGTACCGGCACCATGATTATATTCAACGTGAAGAGCACATTTTCTGATTTGCCTTTACTAAGAGAGAAGAATAATTTATTGACTTTTCTGCACTTCTGCAGAGGGAAATTCCTTCCCCTTGGCCTCCCTTACATCATGGAACTGCCAACAACTGGAGTAAAGAAGAGATTGCTTTGAAATGTGCTCAACTCCACTGCAGGAAGGTCCTCCTGCCCGACCAGGTCTTAACTTTTCTTTTGCCCTGTCCTGATGAGCGCCCTGCGTTTACCATTGCCTCTCCTTCCCAGAAGTCGTGCAAACTCTGCCTGTGGTAATCTTGTTCCTTCCCCAGTAAAACCATTTTCTTACGGCCTTCCTGAATTGGCTGCAAAGGAGACCTTTCTGTCACAAAATAGCTTAAAATTCCTTAAAGTTGAAATGCTATTAAGCTCAGCTACTTTTTAAACCAGTGCTAATGACCATTAATATGAGTTAGCAGAACCATGGAAATATAGTTATGAATATTCTGAATACAAGCATTTACAAGGGATTTATTTAAGAGCTTTATTTTTTTTTGGATGGTAAAATTAAGCATTATTTATTAATGAATTTTATGACAAGCCGTATGCAGTAATTGGCCACTGTCCGCTATGTGACTTGATATAGGCTATTCTCACAACCACCCTCTTTAGAGTAGCTTTGGTAATGTGGGAGCTAACAAGATAGTAAGTATTGCTTTATTTTTCAGAGAGGTCAAAAGAAGAGGAAATAAGGGAGAAGGGAAGAAGAATGTGCAGAGAGTGAGGAGAAATACTGGTAAGGTCAGATGCCAATTTTAACTACTTAAAAAAAATAGGGGAGAGAAAACCCACTATCTGGATTAGCTACACTTCAAAGGGAAATGCTGCACTGCGATGTTCTGCTTTGAAGTTCAGTCGATCCAGACAGCAATTTTCTAAAATGAGTCAAAACTGGCATCTGAAATAGATTTTTTTTCAGAGTACAGCAGATTCATATGCTGGTTTAGACTCCAAAATTTGTCTGGATCAGCAGCTGTACTTCAAAGCAGCACATCTCAGTACAGCATTTGACTTTGAAGTGCATGTGGTCCAGATGCCAGCCCTCTTAAAGGAGCCGATGAATCAACTGCACTTTATTTTTTGTCTGTTGAAACAGCTATGTTTTTTCTCATATATAACGGCAATGTGTGTGGTCTCAAGTATGGTATCTATCAATAAAAACATAAAGCTAACACAAAAACTCTTTATTGCTTCATTTTCTACAAAGGAACTGGTCGTCATCATTTTATTATACTGATTTGCAGGGATCTCAGCCAATTTCTTGCACAAACTCCTCAGACAAGACTCAGGAAAGGACATTTTATTCATTAAAAAACTAACCGTATTCTATTTTGTTATTGTTTTATCATTATCATGAGCTGCAACTGTCCTAAAAAGGATATAGAACAAGGATGAAAAGGGATTTGTTCTGGCAGTTGGGGAAAAAGCAGTGATGGGCATGCTAAGTTCCCATGCAAGACGCAGGCAACTCTGTCATTAGCTTAAAAGGTCAGGTTTTGCATGGAAAGAGGTTTATGAGGTTCAGAATTCTTCCATGTAAGTATCTCAGCATTAATGTCAATGTTTATATCAATTGCTGCTATAGATCTCAATCACGGTTATTCCTATTCTATTTGACAGCAACCTCTATCTGAGGTTGTTAGTAATTTTTTTTAAGTACTTTCAACAGTGCTTACCCTTTACAAGACAAATCAGTTATTAGCATGAGACTGTATACATATACCTATATATATTTCATTTTGCTAAGCTATCCTAATTTTACTATTAGATATGCATGCCTTGTTTCTCAAAGGCAAAAATCATTTCAATTGACTCTGAACTCTGCCCCGGCCTTTTCATAGTTTTGCTGTGTGCTTGACTTTATGTCTGTTAGTAACCTGGAGGAACTCGATAAGCTTCACTATGCTACATACAGAGATCAATACAGGTAAACAAGGGATCCAGAGGATCAGAGTGCTTTAATATTGCAGACCATCTGACAGCCGTTTAATTGCTGACTGTATCCGAGTGTACACTTTGCATTAGACCATACAAAATGGTGGCACTGCCATGTTCTCTAATTTTTACATTATTTCTACATAATGTTTCCTGATAATGTTTAAGAAGTGAGAGGCAGATTTGTCTCTGTTGAATGGATGAAGAAGCTGCACAATATATTTGATAAACCATTCAACTTTTGTGGAGAGAGAAGCTGCTGAAGCTGATCAGAGTGCAAACCTTTTCCTTTTTCCCCCCTCTTTTTCTCTTTTAAAGACAATTCTGAAGGAACAGAGGCTAAGGTTCAGCTTTGGTTCTTCTTTGATGCTCTGATACTAGCTTTGTAAAAGAAACATATTGAATTGCCATAAACAGTGGCTGAGTGACTAGTAGGAGAAAAACAACTATATAATTTTTAGAGATTTTCTTATAGTTTTTTATTTAACTACCTCATTAATGTTAATGGATTTTTTTTTTATGAACTGTACTCACATTATGGATGGGGGAACTGTTTTGCAGTTTAAGAACATTCAAAAAATCCCTAAAGCTCAAAAAGACTAATGGAATATCAGCCTTGTCAGAGCCAAAAATTCAAAAATCATCAGATTGTTCTAAAATTTATGAAATTAAAAAAAAAGAGTATGCAGTTTTAGGGAGAGTGCTGACTGAGTACTGAGTCTTCAAGGGCATCTGGCTTCTCATTTACAGCTTTTTTTCAGTAACAATGTGTTTATCTTTTAACAAAACATTAAAAATCTTGGCCCCAGAAGTGGGCTTGAACAACAAAAATAAATCATGCAGTTATCAAAAAACTCGCGATGCAGTTGGCAGAAGTAGCAATGATATAGCAAGTGTTGCCTTCTTCCACAAACCCAGTCATTGGTCACAAGGCAGAAAATGGAGAGAAAGACTTCTGTCTCTATCCAGAAAAAGCAGAATAAAGTTTCACAACCCCTTTAAGAAGAAGAAGTCTTTTGGTAGTAGATCCAGCTCCTCTTGAACTCCACAAGCCAGTGCAATAAAACAGACACAGTGCAATAAAAGAGCTCCTTTCCCTGTGATTGCAGACCTGATACTGGTATCAGGGGTATCTCAACTGATGGGCACTGCCAGGATTTGCAATCGCAATATATGCCAGCAATGCCTACAGGAGTCAAGAAAAGGATTTGAAAGAACAATGGCATGCAAAGGGTCTGGGATCAAAATCAAAAGTCACGTCGGAGGCTGAAGGGGAGATTGTCACTGATCAATATAGGAACAACTGTTGTTTCTGCCTGATACAGGGCTCCTGTTTGCAGAGGGCAACCCCAACTCCGATTCTTTCCACAAACCAGCAAAAAGGTTTGTCAATGAGAAACCTAACAGCTCTAGCTTGGGAGATAATCAGTTCCCAGTCAAAGGATATTAATATTTGAATCCAAATCTTTTCTCTCTCAAGGGACTCGTTTATTACCATTCTCACACTGTTATCAAAATATATTCAGGAGCAATTTCAGATGTTCAAAAGGTATTTGTTTCAGCAAGTGCCAAAGTCTCCTAGCTCTTGACTGTGCATCTCCAGAAACAGCATACCCTACCTTTCTAACTGTATGTGCAAAATGCTGGTTTTCCCACATGAGCTGTTTTCCAGCTTAATAAAACAAAACGACCTCTCAAAGCAGCTGAAATCTTGTACAAATAGATGTGTCCACAGGTTACCCAGATGAATTTTCCTTTTAGCTGTTTTGTAG